ACAGTGCCGCATATTGACGAAAATCCCACTTTTCATGCAGTGTAAATGCTGATTTTTTTAATAAGAGCTCCATGAACTGCTTTCTTTGCTGATGTTTTCTGATGCCGAAGCTGCGTGGAGTCTTCCATCTCCATTTCTCCCTGTTTCTCCACAATCCTCTTTTTGATACTTAAAGTTTGTGTCTCTTGGTTCAGCCATCTTGTGGAGGGCATTTTAGTTTATGCCCAGAAGGAGTTTTTATGACCAATGTTTTTGATCGGTCTGACATTTTATGATTCCTGAGCTATGGGTTACTATCCAAGCTGTTAGTTTACAAGAGAAAAAGTGCATTCATACAGAACGTGTATTGGGTGTACCAATATAATGCTTTGATTTTTTACTAGGTTGGACCCATTCATCATGGATGCCCATGACGTCACATCCGCTGAACAGCATGGGAACTTCCCACCCAAAGTAAATTCAGGGAAAATAGGCTACAGGCTTACAAATGCTTCAATACTGAACTACTGGGGTTTCAGGCTGCTTCTCATGTTTCATTTTTTAGTCTAAAGGGTAAAATGAAAAGAAGATTTTAAAGAGGTCATAGAATGCAAAACAGAGTTTACATTTTCAAAGATGAGTAATGATAGTTCAGTGGGTGAAATGGACGTACAGAGAAGTTAAAACCCCATTGTCACCTCCTTTCCCTGCAAAACTCACAATTCTAAACTTCCATCATAAAACATGCAAATTCAAACAAAGCACAGAATCAATTTGGGGATGTTGCCTTAATTTGGTTCTGGCATGTACTTTTGGCACGCCCCGAAATTGACATACAGACCAGCCCACTGGTTCACTGGCCAAATAATATAAATAGAGGTAGATGTAAGACACCAGTTTAGCTGTTTAGCTGTTTCAGTGAGCATGTACTTGTTGCTATGATGCGTCTTTGCTCAGCAGCTTCGCTCATTGTAATCCAACCAATCAGCGCACAGCTCATCTAAATATTTATAAGCATACCATAAAAGTAAGAAAACCTGTCGTTTCAATCTGGGGCTCTTAACCAGGCTTGCATTAGGGCTCATAGAATAGGAAATATGCCATTTTCAGCTTCACCTTTAAAGATAATTTTCAGTAAAAACGAATTAATAGGCATTAAACCAAGGGTCTAAAGGATGGGGGGTACAAGTGACAAAGTGCCCTGAACAGTGGCTTTCTTAATTTGTTGCTTAGCGATATTGTTTTGGCTGACAGAGGTTTTGATATACAGGAAAAGTGTCATGATCTTGGCGCTGCTCGTTCATTTTTTTTCCTTTGCTCCTGCTCCCCTGTCTCATTGGTTCTGCGGCTGATTAACGCTGATCATTTCCACCTGGTTCCTCTGCTATTTATGTTGTGTGCTTGTCTTCCATCAGCGCCAGGTTATTTGAGCGTTTTGGTGAGACTAAGTCTAGCATTTTGTAATCTTCTCTGTTTTCCTGATTATGACCTGTTTCTGCCCTGTGGATCATGAGTTTTTGCTTAGCCTCTGTCTGATCTGTTTTGGACTGATTCCTGGATTCTACCGGCTTCTGAACCTGGACCTGTCTTCTGACTCTGGCTTTGGATTTCCCCTTATGGCCACAGTTGCCGCTTGGCGTTGGCTGGCGCCTGCTCTGCTCTCTCTCTATGAACTCTGGGGGTGTCACCCACCACAAGCTGTGAAGAAACCTCCCGTTAGGATTCAGCTCTTTTCTCCGTAAGCAGACTGAACTTTGAATCAGGTCAGTGACTTTGCTCCAAGTCATTATCAGCCCGACAAATCCAGTCACTGACCTGTATCTCCTCTCTGCAGAGATCTGCCCTGCAGCTGACGAACAGCCATGCGCCTGTCATGATTGGTTTTATATCAAACCTACATGCAGAACACAACGGAGGCTGGGTAAAAGTTTAACAGAGTTTATT